TATCCAGGGTGATCCAGTGTATGTGAACAGTGAGATGTTTGGGCGCTGAGGTCGCCATAACCAATTGAGAGTGAACTCGTATCTGAAAGCCATATCTCTGAGTTTTGAGTGGGCGCATGTCGCCAGTATGCTGCGTGCTGTTTACATACATGAAAAGTGTGTTTGAAAACGAGTCTGATTGCAATTGTGCAATTGTTGGCCTAAACTTCTTGAGGCATTTAGCCATGCCAACAATTTGGTTCGAATTTAGGCAGGGAGGACACACACACATACACACACACAGAGCGATCGAGAGAGAGAGGGAGACTGTACCTCCCGAGGTGAAAGTGAGCACTTGCCCTTCCTGCGCTCAGATTCAGGTGAATGGGTCTGCAAAAAGGAAAAACCACTTGCAGGTTAAAGTTTAAACATTGCCAAAGTTTATTAGAGGAGGATAATAAATTGAAATGAGCCCGTTCAACAGAAGCTTTGAATAAACAATGCCGTCAAAGCCTTGAATAAAATCAATGACCCATGGAAGCAGCAAATGCCGACGCACATGAGAGCAAAGAGAATGAACAGGAACACAAAGAAGAGTCTCAATGTCGTCCACTCACTCTCTGGTTCTTCCCACACAGTCTTCTTCTTATTTTGCCACATCACGTCAATCCTGGCTATGGCTGACACTTCTCTAAAGAAGAATCCTTCTGTCCATCGTATCCGACGCATGTTACTCCGATCTCTTTCCTCGCCAGACCTCCGAAAGGTACAGCGCCAAAGGCATGCAGTCTTGACTAAAGAATGCCGGTCCCTTGCAGTCTCGGAGGCTTCTCCTTCATTGCGGCTCTGGCCGCCAGTCATCAGCTGAGCTTCTTCCACACTCAGGGCATCAGGCCTCTTGTTCTCTCCCAAGTGTGTCTATAGTCCTCCCCTCCCTGTCCCTCTTGCCTCCTGTCTCTACTACCAGCGATGGTACCCTTCCTCTACTACGCCTAGCTATGACTGTCTTTCAAAGTGTTCTCACACCCTTCTCCTCTGGAGGCGGCAAGGCAGCATGGTGCACAATTCCAGCGCCAAACAGGGAGCAAGGCCAAATGCTTTGCGGCTGAACTGGCAGCGAAGATGGATTGCTTTGAGCCCTTGACTGCGCCAATGGGCTGCAGCGGCTAATTGGGTGGCCTCTGCACCCAGCAGGCTCTAGATTCATCCAGAAACTTTGTCTGGACCGTTGGATGTGTGTGAAATCTGTGGCAGGAACTGACTTCTGGAGAATTCTTTGGCGGGGTACCTGAATCCAGGTCTGGATGGCCAAGAGAGTCTGCAAAGTTCCCAGTCTTACGGACTCTTACCGGACTCAGGGAACACTCCCGCTAGGACTTTCCTACATGTGTTTGATGGAAATTACAGCCAGACGTGGATGCATCTGTCCAGAGGTGTGAATATGCCCTGAGAACATTTTTCAGACCCTTCCCCAGGCCTCTATGAACTTACGCCGACCATACGACCTAGGGATTGACTTGGGCCCTGTTGAATGCGGGTTTTCTATCTTGCTCTTCTCCCGCAAAATGATAGGAGGAAAGCTGAGGAGCCACAAATGCATTTTGACGTCTGATCTACACACTTGAAAGGCATTTTACGCTGCAGACCCCCAAATTCGGATTTCAGGGTCAAAAGTGGCCGAGTCGGCCAGACACAGGGAAAGGTCAAGTCCAACCGGTATCCACTCAAAAGTCACATCACACAGGCAAAAGTCACATCCCACAGTCAAAATTCACGTCCCACAGTCAAAGGTCACATCCCACAGGCAAAAGTCACGTCCCTCAGTCCAAAAGCAGCAGCACAACAAAGAAATCTCTGGAAGGTACCGGGCCTTGATATTCCAAAAGCAAACAGGCCATGGGCATCCAGTACCGAGTGCAAGTCAGGCCAAGTGGAGCAGAGGCTGGGACAGGTCAAGCCCAGTCGAAGTCAACAAAAGAAACTGGCCTTGACTCATTCAGAAGATTGCTGATTCATGAGAAAGTGGAAGTGCTGCTGGCGCTTGTGTGCTATCACGAGTGGCTGAGCGCTGAAGGCCCTGCTGGGCAGCGCTGTTCTGAGGCCAGCAGGTGGCCATAGCCGCATGTTAGTAGTAGTAGTAGAGTGTGAGCAGGATGCAGATGTATTCCTGTCTCTTATACACATCTAGATGTGTATAAGAGACAGGTAGTAGAGTGTGAGCAGGATGCAGATGTATTCAGAGTTGATCTTCAAGTGAGAGAGAGAGAGAGAGAGAGAGAGAGAGAGAGAGAGAGAGAGAGAGAGAGAGAGAGAGACAAGCCAGGAGAAGAGGAGAGCTACTTACCTGGTTGGAGACGCTGGATGATGTGATGTTGGGCGCTACGTGACACGGCTCCTCATCTGCACAATATGATGTTGCACTGATGAGCGCTTGATGACATGAACTCTGGCTTTGTATGACCAGACCATTTATTGGAGTTTTTGAGCTGCGCTAATCTGATCTCACCATCTCTGGACTACAGTGCCGATTTGGTGTGAGCTCTCATGGTGCATGTGTTTGGAGTGACAATGTAAGTGCTCCATAGCACACTGCAAGTAGAGAACAAAGAGCAAGCACCCCCACGACAAAGTGGGTACATACCTTCAGTGTTGGCCACCGTGCTCGAACAGCTTGCATCTCTTTATGCTCTATGGAGCCACCACCATAATCGCAACCGGAGAACGCCAGCATATCCTTTTCATACCTTAAGAAGAAAGTACAAGTTGAAAAACCGTTCAGAAAAAAAAAAGGAAAAAAAGAAATCATGATAGATCATAGAAGTTAATCAACATCTGTGTATCAGGAACACACAGGCAGCACCAAAACTGCACCAGGTTCTAATCGAGTCAGACCATTCAAGAGGCTTCCATCAAAGCAAACCACGCATCTATGCCAGATCCTGCACACCTGGATTGATGCAATTAGGGGCGTAATTACAATGGCACACACTTTCTTGTTTTCCATCAATTACGCTGGTGCAAATCTCCAATACAAGTTTAGTGTGACGGTTGTTATCAATCGTGATTTGCTGCCAATCAAGTTTGAACCAGTGATGGGATGATGGAATTGTTTGAAGTTTGGCAAATCTTATCCGAATGCTTTTTAAGGGGGGTAGTCAACAACCGAGAAGGAGGGGGTGCGTTCTTTGGGACAGCTGTCAAAATTGGAACGATACAGAGAAGATTAGCATGGCCTCTGCGCAGGAGAGAGAGCGAGAGAGGGGGGGAAGGGAGGGAGGGGAGGTTGCTCATAAAATCTGGGCATTTGGACAGTCAATCCTCTTCTAGGGGGGTAATCAATGCTGTCTGAGGCTCCTCCCGCCGCAACCGGGGGGGGGGGGGGGTTGGAGGGGGGGCAGGGGTGAGAGTGGGTATTACTGTAAGTTTTATGATTTGATGGAGGACAAGGACCGCACTGACGTTCCCCAGAGTACAACGGAGCCTGGACAAGATGTGGTAGCTCAGTGGGTTAGATCTCTGGTGTTGCAATGGGGAGGTTGCGGGTTCCATTCTGTTGGTCCCCTACTCCCCTTCGCATGATCAATTGGTGCTAGGTTGGCACCCCACGACCTTGTCCCCCAGCTTAGTACAGCGTATGCACAGGTCAGTGAGTTTGAGCTAGGTCCTGTAAGAAAGAGGTTCAGGGTTCAATTCTGATCAGGTTAGTACATCACATAGTACGGAGATAGCTGGGATGCAGGCAGGGATGTAGTGGAGGGATTACCTTAAGGCTTCGCTTTTCCAGGGCGGGGGGGAGGGGGGAGGGGTGCAGGGCCACAAGTTGAATAGAGTGGTGGGTCCCATCAGTCGGGACTTCTTGGGGGTTGTGATAACCCCCCCTCAGGGGGGACTTGCAGCATGGGATTAGGATAGTCCCCGTAGCAGGGTCCTCTTTAGTATTGAGCCATTGCTACCTTTTGGAAGTGCACTCGTAGTAGTGGCTGTCCAGGAGTTAGGCAGGGGACAGTAGGGCCTTAATGGGGGTTTGAGCCATTGCTCCCTTTCAGGGGGGCACTTGTAGTAGGGGGCTGTCCTGTGGTTCGACAGTGGTGGGACTGTCTGCTTCTCATGTCGACAAATAGATGAGTACACCCAGCTGATGACAGAGGTATGCAAACGGCTACTGATGTCCGGGACCAGTGCTGCTCTGTGTGATGAGAGATATCTCTATCGCTATACGACGAAAGTGAAAAGCGGTCCTTGCGTGACGCTTTCCGTGGGCCCAGTAAAAAGTGGCGGTACACGAGAGGTTCCGATGGGGCGCGGCACATTCGGGGAGTTCCCAATTTTTTTTTCGTAACTCGTGTCATTTCGCGCCCAACACATTTTCATGAAGTTTCCCAAATATTTTTTGGTTGGTGCCTACCGTCTTCAACCGAAAACAATGCCCGGACGTTATATTCAACTTACCCTAAAAAGATAACATTTTCGTTTTTACTCACCTTTTCCAAATAGAAAGCCCCTTCGAACGCCCGAGCGTTATATTCGAATAGAACACCCGGGCATTATATTTGAATAGAATGCCCAGGCGTTATATTTGAGTGTTCCATGGGCAGAGTGCCTTGTAGAGGTAGTACACATGGGTTTGAAAGGGCGGGGAGGGGGGTATACATGGGTTTTAAACCACCACTACCCCCGCCGTCCTAAATACGGGGGGACCGGTAGCACAGGTTCAAGAGGGCTCCGGTAGCACAGTGGGGAGAACCAGGGGAGTGGCAAAAATGGAAAATGCGTCGAATTGCTGCTGTGATTTATTTCGCGGTTGAAACAATCTTTTTAATTTTTGTAATATTTTTCCTGGAAAGATCACGACCAAATCTACGGACCCTCCAATTTTCAGATTTCTTGACACATTCTTTTGATCGTGAAAAATCGCTGAAGTTGAGGTACTTTTCCCGTTGGCCCACATGTGGTAGAGCGGCAAAAATGGAAAATAAGATGAATTGACGCGGCATTTATTTCACGTTTTTTTTTTTTTTGCTGGGAAACGGGCCCAGCGTCCCTTATGCAATCAGACTCGCTTCCATTCACACTTCACATTTATGCAAACAGGTTGCACAGCAAACTGGCGTCAAGCGCCCACTCAGAACTCAGAGATATAGTACCAAGAACGCAGCTCAGATGCAAGTTCACTTCAAACGGCTATGGCGGCACACCGCCTGTACAAATCTCTGTTCGTCACTTACTCAACACTGCTGTTCGCACACAGGACCACCCTGGATATCCCACACGCAACACCCTGTACATTCGCACACACCCGCACACACCTACAGCTATGGAGGCTATGGCCGCTGCTACTCTATCGCTATGGCTAACTTCCTTCTCGCCCACTTCGTCCTCGGGCTCACTGCAGACCACCTCGCACAAGTCGCTATGGCAGCGCTTCCACATGGCTTCCGCAGGAATGAATGAATGGCTGGGCGCTGCCTCTTGATTTATACTTCTGTAACTCGCTGGTCTGCCCTTTTCCATCGGCGAGGAAGGAGCAAGGAAGCATCCACAACCCAAGACATCATCACCAGACAAGGATCAACAGGACTTCAACATCAAGCGGGAGGAATAGGGACGAACATGACGGCAGGAAAGCAAGAAGCCATGAGTGAGGCGACAAAGGGCAAGAGCAGGAAAGCATCCTGAAACAGAAAGGGAAACAGGAGCAAGGGAGAACGGGAGAGAGAGGGAGAACTCACCACGTAAGGGGCCAGAATGGACAAAGAAAGCTAACCAGAGGATACTAAATCCCAAAGGGGAAAGTGGAGGTGGAGGGAAAGCGAAGGATTCAGAAAAAGAGGAGCAGAGAAGAGAGTAAGGAGGAGGAGGGAGACGCGATTGGAAGAGAGAACAACAAAGACAAAAGACAAGAGCAAGGCGATGAGAAAGAGCAAAGGGGAAGGGAGGAGGAGTGGAGGACAGTAGAGCAGACAAGGGCACATACACAAACGGAAGACATACGGGAATGTCACATCCCAGAAAAGGACACAATCGAGGAATGGAGAAGTATCACTATTAAATGAAAAATGCCAAAGAGAATCAGTGAAGGTAATTTTTTTCCACCTACATTCCCCACGAGTAAAAGGTAAGCCACAACCTCACCTTTGACTCTTTCCATCCCAGTCTATCTCCTCAAACCCCAACGTGGCAGGGCAGGACTCCATCCAAGGGATATTGAGGAAAAAGGAAAGACATCGCTACCGTCACATTGTAGCCCAGTAGAGAACAGAGAAGCGCCCACGACTGGCCTAAGTCGCATCATAGCCATCAAGGGGGTGGAGAAGCATCGACATCAACACCAGCATCACCATCGACTAGTTGGACTTATAATGACAGACAGAAAAGGGGGTCGCTAGCCTACGAAGCTGAATAGAAGGAAAAGTCAAGACAAGTCGGATTAGAATTTTCAAAGTAATAGACCACCTACACCAACACACTCCACAAACCACGCCGTCATCCCCCACTTCTCCCCACAGTACCCTAATTCCAACTCCCCCAACCAATCACTCATACCCCACGTTCTCGTATTTACACTCCCCACAGTAACTGAGCATCGAGTTCACACGCTTTCGTACACTCTCACCCCACGATCGCGATCTCCCAAGGCGCGACCTTGTCACACGCGACCACCAACCCCCTACCTCATGCACCTCCCTCTACCCCCATCCACTTACCAAAAGGCTCCACCTAGCCCAACCAACTCCTTTCACTACCGAATACCCATCAACTCTTATCGACTAACTAACCAAGCCATATATAACTCGTATATACTATCTTTGGTTCCACTAGTAAGTACCATACCCTTGTCCTCCCCTTAGAATCTCGAAAACAGCCGCACGCCCGCAGTTCCCCCCCTTGCCCCCCCTTCCCAGCCCACTCCACGGACCTCTCCGCCACCTCACTCCGGCAGTCTCCCCCACACCTTCTATGCAACCCTCACCTGTCCCACCCCACCCCTACCACTAACATCCCCACTTTATCACACCCCCCTACTTCTCCCTACCCATTCTTAATCACGCACCTCTTAATTAGTACCTCCCCTCCCTCAATCCCTCCATCAATCCCCGCACACGACATTGTCCCAGCCCCCGACCAGCCCTCCCCCAAACAACCACACCCGTTCCCTACACAACAGATCCTCCTCCCCAGCATCAACCAACCCCCGGGCCAGCTCCTCAACAGCTGAGCACGTTCCCTTCATCAGCATCTCGACTACTATCACTACTAATAATCATCATAATGACCAATCAGCTTTGATACACGTATAACCGCCATCAGTGCAGCGGCTATTATCATAAGGCACGGGTTTTGATTTCACAAATACCGCCCACCCCCCCGCTTTTTTTTTTTTGGGGGGGGGGGGGGGATCCATTATTATCATTTTTTATTATTTATTAATCATTAATTATTAGTTATTATTTATGAAATTCAATTATTATTATTATGGAGGTTTACAGTATAAGCCGCAATCTTCTTTTTGTATAGCTGTAGTAATATCATCTTCATCTGCAATAATTTTTGCCAAATTAACAACGAATAGTAATCAGCCCATCCATTACAAAATCATTAATACCATCCACTACAGTAAGTTGTAGATAACAACACTTTATCCGACAATAGCTAACTCCCTTCGAAAAGCAGAGATTATCTATGTTGGGCCGTTGCCCGGCCCGGCACGCCCGGGCCAGTTTGGCAGAGGCGGGGTCACCCGGCA